CAAAGTAGAAGGAGGAGGAGAGATCAGGACGATAGACGTTTGATAGGAAAGAAGAAGCAAACCACACCAGAGCACCCGCCAACCACCCACTTACACCCTAAGGGCCTGGACGGGAAGTCCATTGTTAGATCCTAAGCAAGGGGAAGGAACCCACCTCCCATGAATACAAGCCTTTAAAAAACACATTTTAGAAATACTAAACAAATTTCAAAAATCCTGAAAAAATAAAAGTTAAACAGTGTCAAACGAAAGAAGAAACTTTTTGCAATAACTATGAAAATCAAAATCTCGGCCCCTGAGTCTCGTCAAGGCGAGACTGTGTTTCTAAAGACGCTAGGTCGGCGTGGGTGAGTTAGGGTTGAGCACATATAAGGAAATTCGCGGGCAAGTTAGGGTGTAATGTGTTAAACATTTTCAGTTAGTAGGAAATTTTGAATTTTGCCCTGGTGGCGTCCGAAGCCTACTCTTAAATTGATTTTAGACCACCAAGGGATCTTTAGCGTGTGCAACTTGCACACAGGACCTCCAAGATTTTTCACCCTTGTCCGAGAAGGCTTGGTGTAGATCTTTCCTACCAGAAGATCAGGGGTGTTCCTGAAAGACAGCAGTAAGAAGGAGCCAAGGAGTAGCTGTAGAAAGGCTGCAGAAAGAGTCAGGAGGGGGAAAAGGAGGTGAGGAGGTGGGGGCTGAAAGAGGAGACGAAAGCAGACAACATAACATTGCTAGAGAGCAGGAAAGGAGGTGAAAAGAGACAATTTTAGAGAAGAAAATTTTTCCGTCGCTACCCAGATTCAAACCCAGGACCTATTGAATGAGAGGCGAGCACCTTAACCTCTAGGCCACGAGAGCCCCCTCAAAGTAGGTGAAGGGTTTGCTCATACCGCCAGTGTCTGTGGTGTAGTGGCTTGACGCTTTGTTGTCGGAGGCAGAGGACATTGGTGGTTGGCGGGTGCTTTAGTGTGGTTTGTTTACTGCTTCTAATCTTTCCTATCAAACATCTGTCGTCCTTGTCGGTCCTCTTTCTTTTTTATGTAGGCCGTATGTTAGTCTCTGGTAGCACCTCTAATCTTTGGCACATATATATAGCCTATTGGTGTTGCAAGTGCCTTATTAAATTTAATTAAATAAGAATATGATCTGCCTGCCCCCCCCCCCCCCCCCCCCTTCCCCCTCTTCCTTTTCTGTATCCCTTGGTTAACTAAACATGATATTTGTCTTTTTCCCACTCTCTGTATGTGGGTGGTTGGCGGGTGCTCTGGTGTGGTTTGCTTCTTTCTTTCCATTCAAACGTAGGTCTATCATCCTTATCTCCCCCTCCTTCTTTTTTATGTTTGTTACTCTTGTAGCATATCTAATCTTCTGGCGCTCATATGACCTTATGCAGTTGTGAGCGCCGTAAAACCTCTACTAAAACTAACAAACAAACTCTCTGTATCCTTTTGACTGTTAAAAATACATAACGATATATATATGATATTTGCCTTTTTCGTGGTGGTTGGTTGGTGTTCTGGTGTGGTCTGCTCCTTCTTTCTTTCCTTGAACGTCCATCGTGCTGAGCTCTCCTCCTTCCTTTTGTGGTGTGGTCTGCTCCTTCTTTCTTTCCTTGAACGTCCATCGTGCTGAGCTCTCCTCCTTCCTTTTGTGGTGTGGTCTGCTCCTTCTTTCTTTCCTTGAACGTCCATCGTGCTGAGCTCTCCTCCTTCCTTTTGTGGTGTGGTCTGCTCCTTCTTTCCTTGAACGTCCATCATGCTGAGCTCTCCTCCTTCCTTTTTGTGGTGTGGTCTGCTCCTTCTTTCCTTGAACGTCCATCGTGCTGAGCTCTCCTCCTTCCTTTTTGTGGTGTGGTCTGCTCCTTCTTTCCTTGAACGTCCATCGTGCTGAGCTCTCCTCCTTCCTTTTTGTGGTGTGGTCTGCTCCTTCTT